ATTGTGGGTACTAGAAACTGCACATGGGTTCTGTGAATGAGCACCATGTGCTCTTAACTAATAATATTTCCAGCCTGGCATCGCTGATTATCATTTAAACATCCACTGAAACCTATCAGTTTTGTTTATTGGTTTGTGTCCACAGACACACACTAAGCAGCCATGCTGTACTTGAACTCATCCTCCTTATTTAACCTCATAAGTGCTAGAGTTGCAAGCATGAAATATTACCCTCTCCTGATTTTTTCTTTCTATTGAATTCCACTTGAATTCTCAGCCTCGCATCTACTCAGCTTGAAGTGATAGCTACCAACTTTGTCTAAATATGATAAAACTGAATGATTATTCAAAAGAATATGCAATGAGTCTCATAGCACCTTTGTTCCATATGATATTTCATTATTACACAACAATACCCTTATTGGCACCATTTATCAATACTTCTTTGTGAGCCATAGAAAATAGGCGTATATGAATATGTAGGCTACTGCAGACACAAGCACATGAAACATTATGTGTTTACACTACCAGGTGTATGAAACTAAGAATTGTATCCAGGCTCTCATGCATACTAGGTAAGCTGTCTACTACATATCTATGAAACAAGCAAACAAACAAACAAAAACATATTTGAGTGCTAGAGAGATAGCTCAGAGATGAAAAGACTTGCTACTCTTCTGAATGACCCAAGTTTGGCTCCCTGTACCCATGTTGGGGAGCTCACACCAACTGAATGAAGTTCCAGGGGGATCCAATAAAATCTTTGCTCCTCAAACACTTGCATACTTGTGGCATTGATAGACAAACAGATATCCAAATAAATTAAAATTATTAAAACAAATCTTAAAACTATTTTGATTTCTTTAAACCTAAGCTCTATGAATAAACAAGACTGTATAAATAAATCTCTAAAATTATTTTTAGAGATTCTCTCTGCCTCTCTCAAAGCCAATCAAGGAACATAAGGCAAATGAGAAACTGATCTTCAGGATACAAGTAGTGCAGGAAAGACAAAATATAAGTGAGAATCTCATAAGGGCTAAGGACATAATCCTTGCTGCAACTGGAGGTCATAAACACGTCTGTACGTATAGTGATTACTACATCTGTCACATATGACGGCTTAGAATTTGGAATTGTGCTACAGTTGCTCTATTCTGGCTCAACCATGAAACATGAGCAGTTGTTACGCAAATAACTGTCTTTTAAGATCAAATATTTGTCATAGAAATAGACAAATGAGACTTACTACATAAATTGCTTCAATTCACTTAAAGAAGTGATTGTTGCACTTCATACACTCTAGCCTTTTGCTAGTTCTAACTAGCGAGAGATACTTAGTGAGTGGAGACTCAGCCTGTACTAGTGACACACTCAGTGATATGCATCAGTAATTTTATAGCTAGTTATACCATATAAAATTTTTGACAGAAAGTATCTTGTTTTCTCTGTCTGTGGTGATTGAAAACTTTGCGGGGTATAGTAATCTGTGCTGGCATCTGTGGTCTCTTGGTTTCTTCAGAACATCTATCCAAGACCTTCTAGCTTTCAAATTTTCCATTGAAAAGTTGGGTGTACTTCTGATAGGTCTGCCTTTATATGGTACTTGGCCTTTTCCCTTTGAATTTCTTAATATTCTTTCTTTATTCTATCTCTTTAGTGTTTTGATTATTATGTGGTAGGGGATTTTGGCCCCAACTAATTGTGTTCTGTACATTTCTGGTACTTTCATAAGCATGTCCTTCTTCAGTTTGAGAAAGTTTTCATCTATGATTTTGTTCAATATATTTTCTGTGCCTTTGAGCTGGACTTCGATCCCTATTATTTTGGTCTTATAATGATGTCACAGATTTTCTGGATATTTTGTAGGAAGAATTTGTTGGATTTAACCTTTTTTGACTGATGAATCTATTTCCTCTATTCTGAATGGCGTCCATTCCACTAGAGGTAATTTAATGCCTGTCACTCTGTAATTCTCCTCAAATGCCCACAGTCGAAGAAGTCTTAAGTCCTAGGTTAGAAATGGATATTGTTATTTTGCTATACAAGCATAATGCCAAGTTCCCCTTTGAATATTTATGATTAGGCCCACAGATTTGGGGAGACCTCAACTTATACCAGAAGGGTTGGTTTAACTTTTTTTTTTTTTTGCAGTGGTCAGATGTTAATGGAGAGATACACTACTTGTTAACATGCTAAAGATATGAGGATAAAAAATATTGGATGCTCAGTTTCACATGGTAGAAGTACATTAACACCATCAACACGAAGACTCATGGACATTGTGTAAGAATGTAAGAGGCAAGGTTGTGGAGAGTATTGTGGGCTTGTAATGAGGAAAGATGGGGTTACTTACAAAAGATCAAGAAAGGCAAAATCTCACCTCAGATGGAATGGATAGCCTTTAAGCTGCTTTCCTTCCAAAGTGTTTTTGGTAGTGGGTAGTTGCTGGAAGACGGAGAATCTTTCTATTTTGAAATGGATACTAATACCTTTTCCCTGCTCCAGTGGGACTATATCAGTTTCCATATCCTATATATCCATCTTTCCTTCCTGTACCTACCCCATGTACTTTAATACCAAAAGTAACTGGGTCCCTGTTCTGCTTTTAACCTATACTTTTTCCTTTCTTTCCTCTTCTCCCCTTTCTTCCAAATTCCTTACTTTTTTTCCTTATTTCTCTTTCCCCCTATAACTTTACTATTTTTCTCTTATTTAAATTACATTGTACCTGTTCTTCAGAGTACTTGTTGTGCCTTACCCTTCAACAACAGGATATTTATTCAATTATCAGATTGCAAAGCATGACCTCTAAAATTCAAGAAATCCTTATTTTCACTCCCTTTCATTCCCCCGTTGTTAACTACTTTTCCCACATTTTTCCTTTCCTTTTTCCTACTTATACTTATTGTGTTAATATGCCTGTTTTCTGATTTTGTGATTAACAGACAACCCTTAACTATTATTAATCTATTTTTTTGGCAAGTAGAGGTTTGGCAGTCTTGGAAGTGACTATGATTTTGATTCCCTGAACAAAAATCTTCGGAAGGAGGTATGTCCACATATGGTGCATTGAGTCGAGGACAAGCTATTACGCATGCATATGGCAAAAGAAACTGATGTTAAAGTAAACAGATGGGGGACATCTTCACCATAAAAGATTACTAAAAAAAAACTATTTTAAAGAAAATCCTATAAAAATATGACACAGAGCTGAGACCACAAGGAAATCAGTGTGAATCTCTCTGAAAAGTGGAAGGTATAGGAGAGCTTCCATAGAACTAAACTTTGCCAATCCTGGGAATAAGACTGCTTTAGAGATAATCACACAAATATACTCTGATACCTTACCATCAATAACTAGATAGTTGACACATCCTTGACATTTATCTGATGAACAGGATAACTACCGGGTAACGATAGAATGTTATAGAGCTGTAGGAGTTGCAGGAAGACAAATTCCTCACTTTCTTTCACTAAAATGCAAACATGGAATTTGCTTTTGTGATTTACTATGAAATACCTGGAGAGGTTTGAAAGCTAGAATGGGTCTGTCATTAAAGACAGGACATGTCATATGAAAGGAGACTGGCATAATTTTTCAAATAGTTTGAGGGATCTCGAATGCATAGAGTATGATGCTCCCAGAAGCCATGTATCACAGTGCTGGAAAGTGGTTTGTGTTAAAAACTTATCCATGTATGGTCTTAGAAAGCTGTAAACGATGCAAGCTAAAAAGTCAGGGTGCCAGCTACAAAGAATCCCAGGGTACATGACTGTTAAGATTAACAACCACTTTTTCTATCTCATGTCAGAAAAATCTTTTTGTACCGTACATATAGCAGTCTGTACATAGATACCTGAACAATGTACCTTGAGTGCTTTTGGATGCTGGGCATTATTATCACTCCTTCTAAGATTCAGAAAACTGAAGGAGGTAATTTTAACTATTTAAAGACTGAAGTATGAAAATAGCTGAGTTTTTGTGATTAATCATGGGTGCTATTTCGGGGAATTCACAGCAGCAGGAGCGAACTACAAGTCCACAAGACAGGGAAAATTAACATTCCATTATTTACTACCTGAGCAACTACAGTATTTCATGCTTGCTGGGCAGAGGAAAAAGTTATAGTAAACTGTCTTTGCTCAGGTAAAAATCTTGCTTGTAATATGTGACCATGAATCCAGCTTCCCACAGAGAAGAGAGGAAATAGATATTTTGGAGCTTTAGCTACAACAACCAGAGACAAGTTAAGAGCGGGGAATAGAACCCACGCTGCAAACACATTAGGTACTTTGAATCACTTAAACACCTCTCCTGGAACAGGATCAGAACACTGGGAAATACTAAATAGTATTTCAGGGATATGCAGAGGTAGGAAGATTACTGAAGGTTAGAGGTCCAACATGCACTAAAGTATAATTTGGGAAAGGATGTAAAAATAAATTCCATACCATAAATATGATATGGTAATGAAAACATTTAGTTACAGATAGAAGACATACCTTGAAGTAGTATAGGAAGACTCAACTTAATCTATTCTCTCCTACTTAATCTATTAAATGTGGTGCAAATGAAATTAAAACTGCATTTTTTTCCAACTTGACAATTATGAACATTAATTTGACTACATACAGGAAATATTCTGAAAAAGAAGAGAAAGGAGGCTGAACTCAATAGAATAGGTTAAGACAGTATAAATCACAATAACAAGTTATTAGAAGAAGCAGGTATGCAGCAAATTATGTTTCTATATGCTTGATTTGTAAGACTGTAAAAGTCAAAGTAAATATTAATTTTGTCTAGCACATTAATATGGGGAAAAACAAATGGAAAATATCTGATGAGAAATTAGGGATGATACAGATAAAAATAGTGTGAACATACACATGATTTCAAAAGAAAAAAATGACTCCAATGACACATGAGAAAACATGATTGTATTTGGGAACATGATTGTAATTTATTTATGTACAAAATGGTAACAAAACAAAGAAAATACAAAACATACAGTATTTTATTTGACATACATGACTTGTTTACAGACTCATTTATAAATGAAGTTATAAATAAGAGAGACACTCAGTATGGAAATTCAAAACAATAACAAATAAATGAAATAGCATGATTTAATGATATTTAATAAATAGCACTTTATAATATTATATTAAGACAAATACATGTACCACTGCTAATGAAAATATTGATAATTTTAGTAAATTATCAAATACACTTACTCAAATTTAGATTTTATATACTTTGCCATGGTACATGAAAACAAAAGAAATTATGAAATAGCTCTAAGATTCGTATTTTTATAAGAATCAGTGCGACGTAGAAAATATACAGCTACTCTCAACAGATAAAAGATGCAGTCATATATTTATAAAAAATGCTCCCCAAAGTAACAGAACTCACTGTATGTTAAAATCTTGATGAATTTTAAAGGTAATAAAAGAGCTTCATGCAACCTAACTGGCCCTCAAATGAAGAATGGATAAGGAAAATGTGGTACAATTACACAATGGAGTACTACACAACAAAAAAATGACATCTTGAAATATGCAGGCAAATGGATGGAGTAGAAAACATTAAATGAGGTAACCCAGACAAAGAAAGACAATTATTACATGTCTCATAAGTGATATTTAAACATAAAGCAATGAAAACAAGCCTACAGATGACAATATCAGAGAACCTAAACAATGAGGACCAAGAAAGACATACATGGATCTAATGTACATGAGAAATAGAAAAAAAAAAATCAACAAAAAGTAACTAAAAATGTTTCATACAATACTGTTTTAGCTCAGTACAACTCAGGCTATGCTATGAAGTCAAACCATTTGAAAAGACAAAACAAGGTAAAAGTTCTTTATGAATTTATGATCAGTTATAACTGAACTTTAAGTCAGCTTCAAAATTACCCTGCAGTCATTATGAGCAGCGCCGAAAACACTGAAGAAGTTAATGTCAGTGTCATCATACTTTTCTTGAAGTTAGTCCATCAGAAACAGTAAAAGTCTTTAAATAGATATGAAAGTCTTCAAAGACATCTTCCAGTCTCCATCCAAATAGCTAGTTCAGTTTTAATGATTGGTAAGAGCATTCACGCCACACCTTCTAGACCTTTTTCCAATTAGGAATCTTGTACAAACAATGATTATCCATTTTGGTGACTACCTGAAAGCACAAAGAAATCCAGAAGAATAAAGTAAAGCATTTTTATGTTAATATAAAAACATATTTCTTATTCATTAGGCCCATGAGTATTATTCATTCAAAATATCTTATTAACACAGATGAGCACATTAGTATTGATCTCAAGAATTTTCATTTTGTATATTCATTAAACTTGCTACTTTGTTCGGCATAAACATTTTCAAGTAACCATACATTGTTTATTGAACCATTTTCCCCATCTACTCTCCTTATCCTGGCCACTCAGGTTTCTGACTATGCATATAATGTGATCACCAGCATGATGCTCTTGCTGCCATGTTCACTCAAGAATGAGACCAAAGAAATACTTGGATCATATATATTTGAGATTAAGTTTGGGTGTTTTTTGAAGTACATGTATTTGATGGTTCTATATTACTAAGCATGGGTTCAGAGAACTAAGCTTAGGGCCTTTATAAGAGCAGTATCTACATTTAACCGACAAACCATTTATTCTAGACCATTATTAACATGTTTTTCCCAACTCACAAAACTATGCATAAAATCATAATTTTATTAAATAATTGTTAATTTTAATAGGACTGTATCAGGAAGACTGGTGATGTGGTTAGATTCCATCAGTCACTGGAAAAATTATTTCTTTAAATAAGAAAATTCAAATGTGTGGAACTAATAAGGTTGGAAAGAATATTACGTTGTTGCACTTAAATTAATAAAATTAAAGTGCTTGTTTACCTCTAGGCTGCAGATAACACTTTAAAAGTAATTTGTCTTCGACTCCAAAAGTTGATCACAAACGTAGATTTAAGACATCTGTCGTCATGACCTCCTGAAAAATAAAGTAGGTAATACAAAACATGTTAATAAACAAGTATAAGGAACATTATTCTGGTGCTTTTTGGGGAGGAGTCTGTTAATTATTATATTCAGTTCCCATTTGTTATGTGTGTGGGAGACTTCAGGGGCATCAGAAGCCCCCAATGTTGAGTAGTATCTGGTTGGTGCTACAACTATAACTCAAATTCCCTGCAAACAGACATATCATATTCCCCTGACTCTGGAGTCTCAGGCAGCATGGACTTGCTGCCATCTCTAACTTTAAATGCTGCCACTATTTAAAAGTTCTTCCTGATAAATTTTGCAGCCTCTACATATCCCTAAATGCCTACTTGAGATTCCTGAAGCAAATCAAACGCATGCAACGAAGGAATAATCTAGTCTTTACTTATATAATTGGAATGGCTAAGTTTATTGGCTCAGCTTTTACTTTAGCATGCTTCTTACCCTGGGTTATAGTTCATGTACAAATATGTAATAGGAAAACTTTCTACAACCTATCTGAATGTGCCATGCAAAAGCTTTATCTATTATACCATCCCATAACTACGAGGAATAATGCCATTATCAATGTTTACTCAGTTTTACTCATTGGTTCATCGCTTGAAATACAATCAGTTTAATACTCACGTGGCTAATGCAATACTCTTTGCTGTCACATGAGATCCTCGAGTGTTCAAAAACAGAACTTTGGGATAAGGCAACCCATCACTCCTGGGATGTTGATAATCAAAGCTACTGGGAAAAAAAGGTCTATTTCTTTTTGTTAAGATGCTTATTAGCAAAGGCCTTAAAACATACAAAGACAGAAGTTGTCTTACTCCTTTCTCTTTAGAGGTAATAAAAATTTAACATCCTTCTTGAACATGTTTTCTGTTTTCCTAAATTTTTCATTTATTCTAGGTGGCAATTTCAAAGATATACATTGTCTACCTTAAACAAATCAATCACCCATGTGTTATTAGTATTCTTAATTACATACCTTAGTTTGAAAAACTAAAATGTATCTATAAGTAAATTGTTCTTTTCTCCAATTACAATACCACAAATCCCACTTCTATTGAAAATCAACATTTTAAATGTTTATGATATAACGTCCTAAGCTACAGGCCTTGTGTTATTAAATTTGAGAAGCTGAAATGATAAAATACATATTCTTATGTTCCTGTAGGGAGGGGTTCAGTTCTTCTGCTTCCATACTTTCTGCTGACAGTATCTTGATAGCCCAGGATGTCTCAAATGGATGTGCAGCTGTGCATGGTCTCTTCTGGCAGGTGCTGGTTGATGTTCCGCATACAGCCGAACTCTACCACGTAACTAATATTGCCTTATATATCATACAGCCTACTTTTTCTTAAAGTACTTCAGAGGGAACAATAGATATCCAACTTTAATAATCTCTGATGAAAAATATATATAAATATTAAGCAATTTTTAAACTTTTATGTATTGAAACCGTATCTCAGAAAGCAAAAATTATAAATTTACAAAGTTATAGGCTCTTTATTATCACAAAACGTGTCTAGTAATAGCACTGAGATTGCAAACTCATCTGAACTAGAAATGAAAAGTTATTTTATAATTTGTAAAGTTGGAATACAGGTTAAAAACATCAAACATTACACATTACTACTATAATGTATGTGAAAAAATACAATTACATATGAAAAAACAAATGTGCCTTGGTTAGTCAAGAAACTGCTTTTAGCAATTCTCAACTTAACTCAAAATTTAAATTACTCATCACAATACATGAAAATAAATCTAATTTTCTTTAAGTAATTTTTCTCCAAGCAAAAATAGCTTACTCAGAATTTTATACTTAATACACTGAGTAGTACTTATCTTTTTCCTTGAAAAAAGCATTTGCTACAATGCTTCATTAATGTTATATTACAATGTAATATTTACAGGTTTATCTTTTGTTATGAATATGCATCTGAAAATGCATTTTTCAAATGGAAAGATGTATCAGTTATTTACAACTTGTCATGAAAGCTGTCATGCAATGTGAATATAATAATGTATTAATTCAAGGAGGTAGAAGAAATATTTACATTAATAGTCTATCATTACTAGAGGCACAGAATGAAGATTTATGCCCTTTCATGTACCATAAACCTTAATTATCCTATGGGAAATGATGAATAACCTTGAGATCAGTAGCCAAAGTTAAAATTAAATCTTATTACTCTACCATCAATAAGTAATAAACATAAAATGCGATAAATTCTCCACCAGAAATTTCACACCAGAAATGAAAAGAAGCAAAGGTTTCCAATGATGTACTCACAAATTTATACCCTGTGGCACTCTATTCGTCTTGACAAACAAGACCTTCAAATGCTGTATTTCAATATTTACAAAGTTGTCTTGAATATTGTCATGCAACCAGGAAACACATACAAAACTTTGCAGTGTCCTAAGAGGTAGTACAAAATCTTCATGAAATTTGACAAAAAGTAGAAAAAAAGGTCAACTAGGCTACTAGGAGGATGGAGTAGAAAATGCATAGTGTTTAACTTTCTCCTCTGGCATTCAAACAAATATGAAACACTGAGCTCTATGTTTCCCCCTTAGAAACAATGAGTTGGTCATATAAATTGTAAAAGACAATGATATTTACATGATATTTACACCTGTAGAAATACAAGCTGTTTGATAAAAATAGCTCATTCCTTACAATGTTACATTTTGCCAGGTATCAGATGGATATATACCCATGTAATTTTGAGGTATCTTCTGGAAAAATATACACAAATATCTGTGGCCAGAAAAATAAAAGTACATGCTCTTCATACAATATACATAATTTTCAAAAGTGACACCTTAAGTTTTATGCTTGAGTTACACTCATAATTTAGTAGCTGAAAGACATCATGGTAGACTATACACTCATATTTGTAAATATATATTGTATTTTACATTTCTATAAGATATGTAAACACATAAGTGTCATTTCTTAACAATGTTTAGGTAATTCAACACTCAAACGAATTATCACATCACTAAATGAAATCTATAAATATGAATTTTATCAGCAAAAATAATTTCTCTTTTCCTAAAACCATATACATTTTAAAATCTATTACAGGCCAACTATTTTAAACACATTTTTTTTCTAAATGCATGTGTTAACATCTAGTCCTGAAAATTTTAAGATAAATTCACTACATACATTTGACACATTAGAGACTTAG